ACTCAGCCACCTCCTGCAGCCCTAGCTCCCACCCTGACTGCCGCCTATTGGCCCAAACTCCCTCCCTGGGCCTGAGCATCACGCTGACCAAATGCACCTGTCTGACCCCAGCCCACAGGTCACCTAAGATTTTCCTGGAACTACTCAGAATCCTCTAAGCATCACAGCAGACAAGTGTTGCTGGATTTGAATTAGCTAAATGGGGCCTCTTAGACATTGGAATCTATGCTGAATGTTAACTACGTTTTTTCCAGCTGGTTGAGGCTAATTCCTCTAAAATTCCATCATAAAATGATGTTAGGAAAGATGATTGGCAACAGAAAAGCAGACGGTAGTATGGTTTCCCAACTTATGTGAGTCATGCCCAAATGTCCATGAACTCTCACTTCTTGATTTTTAAAAATTGATTAGTAAAAAGAATTACATGACCCGCACGCAATTTCCGCTTTAAAAAAAAAACTTAGCTGTGCTAGTCTCTCCATTTTGCAGAAGAGCAAACTAAGGCCCAGAGAGGGTGAGTGAAGGGTCCAAGGAAACATAGCAAAGCCAAGACTGGCGTAAATTCTCTGGAGCACTTCCGGGGTTTTTTATTCCACATGCCGGGGTCCCTCACACTATGCCTGCAGCTGCTAGGCTTGACAAGTGACAAACCCTCGGGGGCCTTGCGCATTCCCGACCCCTCAAAATGCAGGGCCCAGTGGTGCCTTTCCACGCCGCCATCCTGTTCTGTCCTGCCTTGCACACCAACCCCCGCCCCAGACAGGTTGGAAGCTGGACCGGTCCATGGCGCCAAAGAGAGGTCAGCGGAAGCAGCCCTCAGAGGACTTATTGCCCAACCAGGAGGGGCTGTGGATCAATTGGCTTTGGTGGTTCTTCCCTGGGTTAACCATTTCCTGGCTCTTTCCCTCTTTTTTTTTTTTTTTTTAAAGATTTTATTTATTTATTTGACAGAGAGAGACATAGCGAGAGAGGGAACACAAGCAGGGGGAGTGGGAGAGGGAGAAGCAGGCTTCCCCGCGGAGCAGGGAGTCCGATGTAAGGCTCGATCCCAGGACCCTGGGATCATGACCTGAGCCATCCAGGTGCCCTCTTTCCCTCTTTTGATTGCTCTCCTAACCTGGTATGGAGGAAGAGTCGATCAGGGTCGCGGCTGGGCATCCTTTACATGTCCCGCTCTGATGTCAAGAGGCAGAGGATCTCTCTCTCCCCAGGTCTGACCCCTCCGTGGTCCTATTGGTGCTCATTTGAGCAGGAGTCCCCAGGACTGTGAGGGGCTTTGGGACTTCCGTCTTCAATGCCTGGTGCACGACCCTGCTGGCCCCTCCCTGACAGTTCGTGAGAATGGCTGCCCCAGGCATTACCGTCACTTGCCAGGGGCAAAGGCCCGGTGCCCTGGGCATAGATTTGATGGCAAAGAGTAGGGGTCTGCCGAGGTGAAGGGAGGGAAACCGAAGGTTTCTAGGAATACCTGGGTGTGCTCGGATATGGAAATCTGGATTCGTTTCTCCGGAGCTCAGTTTCTACACATGGAAAATGAGGACAACAATTTTGCAGTGAGGAGGACATGAGGTCCAGTGAGGTTAGCCTGCAAGAATGGCTGTTTCTAGCTCCCGGAAAGTTCTCGATCCACTCATGTCCACACTCCCGCTGTCTCAATGTTAGCGTCCAACTACACCACCATCTCTCACCCTTGACAGCCTCCTCTGCTGTGTCCCCAGCTCCAGCCAGGTCCCCTTTGGTCCACAGCTGCCCAGGCTGCCCGAGCTGCCAGTCAGATCAAGTCACCCTGGTTGTTTAAAAACTTTTGGTGGCTCCTCAAAGGTTCTCCAAGACAGAGCCCCTGCCTCCTCCCAGTGTTACACACACACACACACACACACACCATTCTTTTCCTTTTTTAAGATTTTATTTATTTAGAGAGAGCACGTGTGTGTGTGTGTGTGTGTGTGTGTGCATGCGTGCGTGTGTGCACGGTCTGGGCAGGGTGCAATAGGGATAATAGAGGGAGAGGGAGAGAGTCTCAAGCAGACTCCACATTGAGCTCTGAGCCCCACGCAGGGCTTGATCTCAAGACCCAGAGATCAGGATCTGAGCTGAAATCAAGAATCAGATGCTTAGCCAACTGAGCCACCCAGGCGCCCTCCCCTCCCCCTACCAGACCATTCTTCAAAAATGTCATTCTCCCTCTAAGCCTGGAACGTTCTCTCTTCCTGGATGTGCCTTCCCAACTTCTTTGCCTCATTACCATGTCTTTGTGGTTTAGAAAAAGCCTCTCAAGTGTCACCTCTTTCCAAAAGGCTTCCCTTCCTGTCTCCAGTGACCTGGGGCAGGGACCCCCTCCACACTCTCTCTACCAGAGTGTTTAACTGCCTGGCCACCGGCCAGCCCCTCAGGGGGTGTGTGTGGAGAGAAGCCCTGATGATTGTAAAGTGTGCTGGGGCAAGGTGGGAAGGCAGGCCTGGGCCAGAGGAGGGCGGCCGGCATGCAAGCTGGAAGGTAGGGGTGAGTTGGCTGTGGGCAGGACTGGCATGGAGCCCCCTGAGAGGGGTACTGCTGTGGCCTGCTTGCCACCAGAGCCTTCTCCACTCGCCTCCTATTTCACAGACAGAACAGAGGCCGCTATGGGCTCCTGGCTGGCTTAGTCAGTGGCGCCTGCGACCCTTGATCTTAGGGTTATGAGTTTGAGTCCCACCTTGGGTGTAGAGATTACTAAAAATAAAATCTTCAGGGGCGCCTGGGTGGCTCAGTTGGTTGAGCGTCTGCCTTCGGCTCAGGTCATGATCCCAAGGTCCTGAATTCGAGCCCCACGTCAGGCTCCCTGCTCAGCGGGAAGCCTGCTTCTCCCTCTGCTTCTCTCTGTCTCTGTCTTTCATGAATAAATAAATAAAATCTTTAAAAACAAACAAACAAACAGAGGCTGCTAAACATGCCTCAGCGAGGTCCCCTCCCCACTCCCTCCCTTCCCAGAGCTGGCTTGTCCCTCCTGTTGTCTGTGTTCTGGACTCTTTGGGCTCTTTCATTTGATAACATGCAGGTCCTCTTTCCACCATCAGAACATACGGATCTACCATCCTATCTTTCTTCTTTAAGTCAGGAATGAACTTTAACAAACAGTTGTTAGAACGTCAAGGGATATTTTTGAAAAAAATTTTTTAACTGTGGAAATAGACTCATAACATAAAATGTATCTTCTTAACCATTTTTAAATCTTAAAATCTTCTAATCAAAGTAGTCTCTATCCCCAACATGGGGTCGAACTCACGACCCCAAGATCAAGAGTCTTGTGCTCTTCCCACTGAGCCGGCCAGGCGCCCCTCGTCTTAACCATTTTTAAGTGTTCCGTTCAGCGTCATTAAGTACATTCACATTGTGCAACCATCACCACAGGCCATCCACGGAACCTTTCATCTCCCCAAACTGAAATTCTGTCCCAGTTTGGGACAGAATAGGGAGCACTAGCTCCCTATTCCCGGCAAACACTGTTCTACTTCTCGTCTCTATGAGTTTGACTGCTGTAGGTACCTTGGATAAGTGGAATCCTGATATTTGTCCTTCTGTGTCAGGCTTGTTTCACTCAGCATTGTGTCCTCCAGGATGTAGCCTGTGTGAGAATTTCCTTCACTTCAAAGATGGAATGATATCCCATTGTATGAATACACCATATTTTGTTTGTTTTGTGGACTCTTGGGTTGCTCTCACCTTCTGGCAATGGTGAGTACTGCCACTATCAACATGGGTGTCCAGGCAACTCTTCAAGTCTTTGCTTTCAATTCTTTTGGGTCTACGCACCCAGAAGTGCAATTGCTGGACCCTATGATAAGCCTATTTTTAATTTTTGGAGGAGCGCCATTCTTTTTAATACCTCCATAATATTCCTTCATATGAAAAACATTCTTTGACTATGATCCAACTGCCTACCTGCCGGTAAACATTTAAGTAATCTCGATTTTTTTTTCCCCATTATAACCCATGCCACAGTGATCATCTTTGAGGTGTGCCCAGATTTGGGCAAATACACACGGATTTCTGTGGGGAGATTCCTAGAAAGGTAAGGCGGGGTGTCAAAACCATGCACGCTAGAAAGTTTGAGAGTCACTGTCGCATTACCTTCCAAGAAGTTTTCCCCACCCTACAGTCTTAGCGTCAGTGTGTTTGAGTGTGTCTACCTACATCCTGGCCAACACGCAACGCTTTCAGTCTCTTAAACGGTGGTCACCATGACAGTTGTAGTTTTGATTAGCATTTTCCTTAGTACAAGTGAAGCAGAACATCTTTTCTGATGTTTACTGGCTGGTGGCTCGTCTGGCACTCTGGGACTTGTGTTTTTCTGTTCTTTGCCATTAAGTGTTTCCAGTCCCACCTTATCTGACCAGCCAGTCGTTTATGCCGCTGTTGCCCCCTATAGAATTTTAGGTTTAGAAGTGATTTTCTGTTGGAATTCTGCAGACAATGTTCCACGGCCTCTTAGAACCCATGGTTGCTACTGAAAAGCCCGACGCTGCTTCCTGATCCTTTAGTATGTGACTTGCTTTTTTCTATCTGAAAGTGGTTAGGGTCTTCTCTTGCCCCCTGCTACTCTCAAATCTTATGACATGCCTTCCGTGGGTGTCCTTGCATTCATCATGCGAGACCCCTTCTAATCAAGAGACTTGTATCTCAGTCCCGAGAAATCTTCTTGTGTGGTTTCTCTTAAGCCATTTCTTCTCCTTGGTTCTTTCTATTTTGAACTCTTTTGGTTGGATGTTAGACTTCCCGGACGGATTCTCCGAGTGTCTTTCTTGCTTTCCTTCTCTCCTGCTCTCATTTCATTTCTCTCCGTTGGATTTTTACATCTCCACCCTTGTAGTTTCCATTTCCCAGAGCGCTCCCGTGTTCTCTGTCTGGTTGGTTTTCATGGCATCCTCCGAAGGCTGTCAAGTGAGGAGGGTCAGGGGTGGATAAAGTGGTCTGGGCTTACTGTGCCTTCCCCTCTCCCCTGAGAGACGCCTCTGAGGTCCCGCATGGCTCCTCCAGTCTGGACTCTGGTGCTGCTGGTGGGGGCTGCCTGGGGCCGGGGCCACATTCCTGCCCCTGTCCGGTAAGCTGGGCTCGGGGGGGGGGATTAGGGGTGGCTCCGAGGGAGAGCGAGGGGCAAAGCTGGAGGGGGCAAGCAGGGTAACCACAAAGGGCATAGCCCTGGGAAGAGAATGATAAACAGGAATGGTGGGGGGAGCCCTGCAGCCCAAGAGCCTGGAACTGAGGGGTGTGAGCAGCTCAGCGGGAACGGGACAGAGCCCAGACGTGAGAGAGAGGGAGGAGGCACGGAGCTGGGGAGACAGAGAGCAGAGAGAGCTGGGGCTCTCAGAAAATGGGCCGAACCCAGGGCAAATTCAGCAGATAGGACACTTCAAGTAGAGGCAGCGAGACGTGATGGATGGCTTGGTATCCTGGAGCTTGTCTGGGGGGATTTGAGCAAGTAGAACTTGAACAAGTAAAGGGGAGCGCTGTTGGGTTTGGCCCACGCCACCTGGGGAGGGGAAGCTGGCTTCTCTGTGGGGTTCAGAGGGCTCGGAGGGGCCATCCCTCTGTAACTCATCTATATGTTCAGTGGCCTGTAGCTGAGGCAGGACCACCTGCCACCCACCGGGCAGCCTGGGACCCACAGAATCCCCACTCTCAGCCCGAAGGAAGGAGCTTCCCCAGGTGCCAACATTTAAGTACCGCTGTAGGATCTCCATACACAGGAACTGGTTCCTCCTTGAGCGAGCCTCTACCACTCATGGTACCTCGGGCACAGAGGAGCCGAGGGAACCCGTGGGGATGGGAGGAGCTCGGAGGGGAGACGCTTTTTCTTTTCTTTAGGAGATAGACGAGAATTTAACATGAGGAGGCTGGGTGGCCTTTTGAAAACCTTAAAGAAGACAAGTAAATATACGTTCACTGCCTACACTTTGGTACAATTCGGCGAACACGAAAGGAAGTCTTCCATGAGTGACCGCTCAGAAAGCTCACGCTCATCGAGGTTTATGATTCTTGATAATGACAAGTATTCCCCCTTTTTTTCCTTTTTCTTTTTTCTTTCTCCAAACCAACCCCAAGGAAAGAGAAGCCTACGGACTGGAAGGCAGCTGCTCGCAGCTCTAAGGATAACTGTGAGTTGGAAACCAGCACCGTTCAGATCTCTCTCTGCCCCCAGGGGTGGCCACCTCCAGTGCCCTTGGGGCTGAGTGATGGCACAGACATGTAGTGAATGTTAGAGGGTGGACGAAACACGGAGGAGTAGAGGCCAAGCCCTACCTGGGACAGTCACGTTCAAACTGACAACAAAATGTATGCACCCAGACAAAGCCTGTCCCCCCCGGGGGGGAATCCAGCCCCTGGCACCTCAGTTTGTGACTCCTGTCCCAGAAGTCATTCTGCCCTGACCCCCACCCTGAATTTCTCCTAAGAGATTCTTATTTCTCAGATTCTCTTTTAAGAAGCTCTGCTCTGGACCCTAAATCTCCTAGTGGCTGCCTTCTCTGCACTTAGCAACTCGGCCAACCTCCAGACCCCAGTTTGGCCCTCTCCCCCATCCTGGCCTCAGGGCAGCCTTTTCTTCCCAGCTATTCTCACCCAGTGTGACTTTGAGGATGACTCCAAACCCCTTTGTGATTGGACCCAAGTGTCCACAGATGACGGGGACTGGATTCGAACCAGTGGGCCTCCCCCCACCGGCAGCACTGGTCCCCCTGGGGGGTACCCTAATGGAGGTGAGGAAGCCTAAGGTTTAGGGAGACAGCTGGGAGCTGGGCTCAGGCAGACCTGGGCATAGGGAGAAGGGAGGCAGCTGGAAGGGGGTGCCTGGACCCTGGACGGGGGTGGGAGAGGCAGCTGTCAGGGGTGGCAGGGCCTCCTCGCCATCCTGGGCTCTGCCTCCCCCAGAGGGATACTACCTGCACATGAACTCAAGCACCTTCCACCGGGGCGGGGTGGCTCGCCTACGCAGCCCCCCCATATGGGAGCAAGGCCCCCTCTGCGTGCACTTTGCCTACCACATGTTCGGGCTGTCGTGGGGCGCCCAGCTCAGACTGCTGCTGCTCAGGGACACCAAGAAAAAGCACCCCAGCCTGCTCTGGAAGCATATTAACACCCAGAGCCCCTCCTGGACGCCCACCACTGTCACCGTGCCTATGGGGCTTGTCCTGCCCAGCCGGGTGAGGCTGAGGGCAAAGCCTTGGGCCCCAGGCAGGGGGAACCTGGGTGTGTGTGGGGGTGGGCAGGAGGACCCGGAGCAAGGAGGGGGCGCGGGGCTGGGCCATCTGAATTCAGGCAGGAAAACTGGGAGCCTGAGGCAAAGGACCTTACAGGGTGGGTGGTCCCCTGCTTTCTCCCACAGGTGGTGTTTGAGGGAGTGAGGGGCAGCACGGCTTACCTGGACATCTCTCTGGATGCCATCTCTATCCATCGGGGCTCCTGCAATCGCAGTAAGCCCCTGTCCCTCTTCCTCTCTGCCTCCACCAGCTGCCCGGCGTGGCAGAAGTAGCTCAGGGATCATGGTCCTGCTTTCTCCCAGAGTTGGGGCTACAGGCTTCCCTCTGCCTCTACATCTCACATCTCTGAATCCTGAAGCAGCCACACCTAAAGAGAGGTTCTCTTTTAACGGGGTTGTGGTAATACCTTTCCTAGAGTGACCAACCATTCCAGTTTGCCCTGGGCTGTCCCTTTTTTTGCACTGAAAATCCTGCATCTCAGGAAACCCTCAGTTCCTGGCCCAAACTGGATGTCTGGTCACCCTAGCTATTACCCCAGATTCACCCAGGATCAGTCCTCTAAGCTGACATTAGAGACTCAAGGAGAGCAAATTCAAGTGAAGGGAAATTCCAGAACCTGAGTGCAAGGAACTAACACTGAGCACAGGATTATGCTAGTTGCTCTCCACATACGATCTAACTTGCGACAGGTGGGTACTGTTGTTCCCAGTTATAGATGAGGAAACTAACAGGCAGCTTAAATAATCTGTCCCAGGAATGAACTGCTAAGGGCTGGGACTGCATCTGCTTCAAGAGCCCACGGCTGACAGTAGGACACAGACTGGGACTCAGAATTCTGACCCCAGGCTGAGGCATGCTTTTTGGAGCTGCATCTTCCTAGAAAAAGCTAAATCCTCCCCGCTCTTCTTCCCTTCAGTCTGCATGATGCAGACGTGCAGCTTCGATGTTCCAAATGATCTCTGTGGCTGGAGCTGGATCCCAACAGCCTCTGGGGCCAAGTGGGTCCAGAAGAAGGGGTCGTCCGGGGTGCCGAACGTGTGGCCTGAGGATTTCTCTAGCCCTGGTAGTGAGTAATGGCCATATTTCCACCCTTTGCCTTTCTGGGCTTCTAGTGACCTCTGCAGGAGTTTACGATGTTTGCCTAACAGTAACTGCCCAGGGATGGCCTGGGGTGAACCCCAGCAACCTCAAAACTCTGTCAGCTCAAGTTACTCAGCAGAAAGCAAACCCCACACACTCAGCTTCCCCCGCTACCGTCCCACAAACTAACCCTAACCCACGCTCCCTAATTTCTTTTCTAAGTTCCCACTTCTTTGTTCTCCGTCCCTTTGCATTTCTCCATTCTCAATCATCCCCCTTCGTTTTCCTGTTCTTCTCTCTTCCCCTCCGTCTCCCCCCACCGCCCATAAGCCCTTTCGGCTCACTCCAACGGCATGCTCTCCTTCCCGTGCTCTTTCCCGCTGCCTGAGGTCTACCTTCCGGAAAGACCTGGAGAACCACCCCTCCCCCTCACTCAGACGCCCTGGAAAGCACGGCGGGCCAGCCCATCTCTGCATCACCCCGCCCCGCAGCATTAGGGCCAGCCCATCTCTGCATCACCCCGCCCCGCAGCATTAGGGCCAGCCCATCTC